CCCCCTGTCCCCACAGAGCTGTCGGGCAGGGCTTTCTGGGGCGGAATGGTTCGGGCGCCGGCCACCCGCACAGACGCACACCTCCGGGCGCCTTGCCCTGAGCAGGAGGCGCTGGTTTAAGCTCCGCCGCCCGCCGCCCTTAGCGCACTCTGCCAGCGGCCGTCTGTCCAGGGCTGTTTGTGGGAAGCGCTTGCTTCCTGCAGACTCTAGTCTAGAGCAAACATGTCAAACTCGCGCCCGCGGGCTGCATGCCTCGTTTGTTTGGCCCGTGTTAGCCTTTGGGTTTGACATGCTTGCTCTAGAGGGAATCTGATTTGGCATAAACCGCACGTGGAGAATCAGAACAGGCAGGTGACAGGCACCCTTGCCCTGCCCCACCCCCACCCCATACCGTGCAGTTTCCGGCCGGGCTCCTGGGGGGACCCCTTCCCCTGGGGTGACCGAGCGCCTCTGCCGCCGCAGGTGTCTGGGCGCACGGCGACTACTGCAAGATCAACCCCAAGACGGGGGGCATCATCATGCTGGGCCGCAGGTGAGTGTCTGGTCGCCCCCCTTCCCTGGAGCCCCTCTTCCCGAGGCCGCCGCCTGTGTCAGCTTCCCGCGGGCCTGGCTCACCTTCCTGGGCTGGGAGCTGGGAGCTGGGGTTGGGGGCGTAGGGAGAGGCCCGCACCAGAGGCACAGCCGGTGACCGTCATAGGTGGCAGCTCTCCCGGTCGGGGCTCGTGGGTCCTGGGGCCCCCACAGCGGGAGGGACCCTGCACGGGGAGGCGCAGCGAGGGGACAGGGTGTCCACACGAGGGGGCTGCCTCGGTGTCTGGCTCTGAGTTTAGGGGAGAGGGAGGGAGGGAGGGCTGGTCGGGATCAGAGGAGGGCACGTGAGCCTTCTGTGGCCGGCTGTGTGGAAACGGGGTGCCCGCACGTGGGCCCCCTCTGCTCCACGCCTCGCTCCATGCGGGGCCCCCTCCGGGACATGGCTCGCTCAGGAGCCGCTCTGCGTTCACGCCCGCGTCTCTCCCCAGTGACGGCACGCTCAACCCCAACGGAGTGCGCTTCGGCAGCTCGGAGATCTACAACATCGGTAGGCGCTCCCTCTCCAGGGTCGTCCTCAAGTCCCCCGGGAGGGAGGGTGTCCTGCGGGGAGCCCGGAGGTCGGCTTTCCCACGACCTCCCCTCTGGCTCCACGCATCCTGCTGTGAGTCGGACACGGATGAGCGTGTCCTTCCCAGGATGTACCTCATCCCGGTCGCTTGCAGCTCCCAGGACCTCAGGAGGGGGCTCTTTGGGGGTCCCCGGCCCAGCCCCGCCCTGTCGCTGCCCTGCTCCTGGTGAGCTGCGTGAGGTTGGTTACCTGTGCCTGCTCCTTGGGAGTGAAGGTACAGAGCACAGAGAGGTTGCGTGAGTGCTGAAGGTCACACAGCACCACACAGGGCGCCAAATACAGGGTGGGCCCTGGGCCTCACAGCTGCACGCCCCCCACTGGGGATGGAGCCCGCAGCCCGGGCATGGGCCCCCACCGGGAATCGAACCGGGACCTCCTGGTTCAACCACTGAGCCATGCTGGCTGGGTTTTAAATTTTTTAAATTTAAATTTATTTTTTGTTAATCCTCACCTGAGGATATTTTTTCCATTAATTTTTTTAGAGAGTGAAAGGGAGGGGGAGAGAGAGAAAAACATTGATGTGAGAGAGACACATGGATTGGTTGCCGCCTGCATGGCCCGACTGGAGCCAGAAATGGAACCTGCAACCCAGGTACATGCCCTTGACCGGGAATCGACCCCGTGACCCTTCAGTGCCTGGGCCGAGGCTCTAACCACTGAGAAACACTGGCCCGGACAAACTTCCTTAAAAAATGTAATCTGTGAAGTCAGAGCTGCACATGCCTCCTCCTCGGAGACCATCCAGCTTAAGGGGGCGCTGTCTCCCCGGTGGGGTGATTGTCCACCTGTCCCTGCACCCCCAGGGCTACCGCCGGGAGGGCTGGGAGAAGGGCCCGGCTCCCCTGTGCCTCTCTCCGGGGGCCGGGCTGGCAGAGGCCGCGTGGCTGAAGCCTGGCCCCCATCTCGCAGTGGAAGCCTTTGAGGAGGTGAGCGACAGCCTGTGCGTCCCGCAGCACAACCAGGACGGCGAGGAGCGCGTGGTGCTCTTCCTGGGCATGGAGGTGGGCCA